CAATCACATGGTGGCCCACCCTCCTTGGAGCTCTGCGGATTTGCTCGGCAACTCAGGAAAGCCCCGCCCCCTCAGCCTGCACAAGAAGCCAGAGATTTGGGCTGAACCTGCAGCATTCATCACACGCAGGATAGCTGGCCATCTCCCACCTACCTCGGGGCTTTCATCAGGACAACCGACCCACGCCGTCCCCTGCTGGACCTCATTAATGCTGGGCAGTAACCTTTCACATGCCAAAAGGCTGCACGACTCCCATGATGCGGCAGGGCATGGCGCCATCCAGCATGCATCACACACTGAGGGATCACAGGGAAAAAGAAACAGAAGCTTCCAGAGGCCACAGGGCAAGAACCCGTTTGGTAATCCTCCAGCCACTAGGGGGCTCAGCGAGCACATGACTGCAGTAACGTTGAACCTCATAGGTACAAAAAATGAGCCCAGTGGATGCTGGGCTGGGTGATGGTGGGCACTGGGGTATGAGTTAGTGAGTAGAAGAACCCAGGGGACTGTAGAACATGCTCCAAGGTGACGGTGAGATAAATGGACTGTGATGATGTAGGCAGGATGCAGGTGTATGATCACAGGAATTTACAACGAAATTTAAAACCAAGTTTGTCAAATTATCATATAAATATTTAATGTATTACACAAAATATATATTTGTGAGAAACGTGTTCTGTGTTTAGCCATTACTTGGTCTGGTCTCAGGGCTGCACTCCTTCAGGGAAACAGCTTGTGATTGAGTGGAAGAGACATGGTGTTTTAAAATGCAAAATTACACATCAAATTCAATAAAGGCTATTTATACTAAAATCCAACATTCCTCTGCCAGGGACCCTGATGTTTTCCCCATGTAGACTCAAGTGCTGTTTATTGAAGGGATACATGCACTGTTCATCTGACCCCATGCAGGACAAAAATAACCAGCAAAGGAGAAATACAAACCAAGTAGAAAGGAGACCTTGGAGGATTTGGGAGACACAGGGAGTATTTACAGGACGCTTCACGCAGACAGCAAATGGCCTTTTACCTGCATGATAGCATGTTATACAGAAACCGAACTGCAGAAATGTTGCTGGATCATTTCATAATGCATGATGCCCGTCCGCCTGCATAAATTAGGTGAAGGTAGAATCTGCAGATAAATATCTTTTAAATTATCTCTAACGCAAAAGCGATGACGAGCAGAAGATGAGCAGTAAACAAAGACAAACACAATGTGGAGACGGTGAGAGTCAGGGACATGAACAGGGGGACAGTGAGAGTCAGGGACATGAACAGGGGGACAGTGAGAGTCAGGGGCATGAACAGGGGGACAGTGAGAGTCAGGGACATGAACAGGGGGACAGTGAGAGTCAGGGACATGAACAGGGGGACAGTGAGAGTCAGGGACATGAACAGGGGGACAGTGAAAGTGGCAGTGAGAGTCCAGCTGTCCATGTGGGACATGGATACAAACCCATAATAATAATAATATAATGTCAAATGTCAATCTAAATGTTACTATTCACATTTGATTAAGTGTTTAAGAGTCTTCAGTGCATCATGTTCAATGAAGCAATAATTAACTCCAGGACACCCCCGTCCCCGTGCCTGACTCTCACCGTCCCCCCCGTTCCCGTGCCTGACTCTCATCGTCCCCCCATCCCTGTGCCTGACTCCCACCATCCACTGGTCCATGCGCCTGACTCTCACTGTCCCCCATCACGATGAAGTACTCACTCTACATGCCGCTGATGACACGCATTAGTGCAGGAAGCAAAGCCACTTGAGTCAAAATGCCTTCCACAGTGTCAGCATTTCTGCCAAATTAAAATGACTCTCCAGGGATGTGGAGAGAGTGAGGAGTTACAGTAAATCCGCTCCCGGCAGGCCGGCTGTACGCCCCCCTCCCCGCTCTGGGGCACCTCAGCACAGGGGAGGACAGCCCGACAGTCCACACCCCCCACCCCTCATCATGCACTCCATGAGACAGCCATGCAAGGCAGGGAGACGCAGAGAGGAGGCAAATAAAATTACCTTTAGTTGTGGAAATCCTGTAGTTGC